ACGAACACAGAGGGCCAGTACGTGCAGGACTACACCACGCTGCACCTGAACCGCCACCAGTGGAACAACTGCACGCTGGACTTGAATTGCCACCTGGACTTAAAGGTCGACATGAACGTGACCCTGGTGACGAGCGCCCTGATCAACAATTTCCAGTCCGACGACCCACCTACTTCTCTTCAAGGCCCATCGAACTCACCATCATGCTCCTCACCCTACAGCACCTGATGCGCACTGGTGTTCAAAGGGCAGGAATGGGACATGACACTGCAGATTATCAATACGCGGACCCACTCGCTGAGCGAGTCTATCACCCCAGTCGACGGAAGCTCGAGATCGATCACGACGTCAGCTCCACCATCATCCAGACTTTCGACATCGGCAAAAAAGGAAAAAGCCCCACTGGCAATGTGATTCAGGACATTCATGCATGCGTACGTTTATCTCACTGGTTCGACCATTTATGGCGATTGTATCTGAGGATAGGACTCATACACAATGGAACTCAATACGCACAGAACATCGGTAAGCAGGATACCCTGGCCTCACTGGGCATACACGGGGCTACGAAGAAGGCTGACCGGAACATCAAGATCATGCAGTTAGACAGTTACGACGAGCATGGCAAGCAGGTAGATGCCATCACGCAGGAGCACGAAAGCTACGAGCACATTATGGACTCCCTCAGGAAGAGCGGCCCCCCAGAGGACAAGAAATGCCTGCAGGGGATAGGGTCGCCAGCTCCGTCCCGCGCGCTGACGGCCCTAGAAGGACTGTACAAGTGCGACGTGGGCGGCTCCATGAAGGGTGCCATCGAGGACATCGAGGCGGAGACGGAGATCAGCAAGGAAGATATCCTCGACGCCATCAACTTCGTGCGCCTGGAAAAGTGCTACGACCACGACAAGACGAAGCTGGTGATCGGCGCGCTAGGCGCGCCCATTTGGGAGGGCCAAATCCTGATCAGCCGCGCCCTCGAGGCCGAGGGTCAGGCGGTCCACCACCGAGACGTGGGCCCAGTGGGCTGGCTCGAGGAGGAGGCTAGAGACGCTCGAGCAGTGAACCCGTCTTTTTCTGCCAGAGCGAGCCTGCAGGCCACAATGCAGGCCACAGCGGAGAGGAGGCGTTTCAACGCCGCGTCAATTTCGTTCGAGGCAAAAACCTCCCTGTCAGCAGCGGCACGGTCACGGCCGGCCACCACCCTCCCTCCTCCGTCGTGCCTCCAATCCTTCCCTGCCGAGCCAGCACATCCAGGAGTAGTGTGAGGTGGAGGCCCCACCTGAGCATGATACAACCGCCGAAGAAGAAGCGGCCGAATATCTCAGCTAGCATTTCGACGCTGCTTGGCACGCGCTGCGCAGGAGGCCCCTCCGAGCAGCACCCTGGCAGTTTGGCCCAAGCGGGGCAACACGAGACAGTCGGCTCTCTGCGACGGATCACTTTAAATCTGGTTTCATTGTACACCATATCCTGATATCAGATGTTGGTCCTGACGTCGAGGAAAAAATCAGCATCAGCATCAGCATCATCATCAGCATCATCAGCATCAGCATCATCATCACCACCATCATCAGCATCATCATCATCACCATCATCAACATCATCATCAGCATCATCACCAGCATCAGCATCAGCATCGTCATCATCATGATCATCATGATCATCATCATCAGCAGCATCATCAGCATCATCATCTTCATCACCATCACCATCACCATCATTCGCCATCCCCATCCCCATCCCCACCACCACCACCACCACAGCCAGCATCATCATCATCGTAATCGTCAGCATCATCATCAGTATCACCACTACCATCATCATCACCACCAGCATCATCATCATGAGCATCAGTATGACCATCATCGTCATCGTCATCATTAACATCATCATCATAAGCAGCATCATCAGCATCATCTGCAGTAGCATAATCATCAGCATCGTCAGCATCATCAGCATCATCATCATCATTATCATCATCAGCATCATCGTCATCGGCATCGTCATCGTCATCATCATCACCAGCATCAGCATCATCATCATCGTCGTTGTGATCGACACCATCACCATCGTCAGCATCACCACCACCACCACCATCAGCATCACCATCATCAAAACAACAGCATCATCATCACGACCGGCATCATAATCGTCAGAATCATCCGCATCATCATCAGCATCACCGGCACCAGCAGCATCACCAACAGTAGCAACATGATCATCAGCATCATCATCAGCATCATTATCAGCATCATCACCCTCGCTCCCTCCCTCCTGTATCAGTCAAGTCATCTACCTCGCCCGCTTCCCCAACCTCCCTCCTCCTTCCTCCCCCACCCTCCTCGTCCACTCTGTCCACTGCTCCCTTCCCAGCACAACCTCCGGAGAGGGGGGAGCTTGGAGAGAGGAGAGAGAAGGATTAAGCGGGGAGAGGAGGGAGGGTGGGAGAGGGCGGGGAGGAGAAAAGGAGGCCACGCTCCATGGCGACCTCCTCCACAAAGGAGCACCAGACCAGGGCCCCCCCGCCGAGCCAGTGTTCTTGCTTTTCTCCTCGATGCCTCAGCTGTGCAGGACCAAATCCTGCGAAACGTCCCCTGAAAAGAAGCAGGCAGCGCCAACTGCGGAGGCTGGCTGCTGCAAGCCCGCCATTCCCCTGCCCGCCAAATGTCCCCTACCTTCTCATGCTGATCCTCTCCTCCTGGTGCTGCTGCCCCTCCTGCTCCTTCTCCGCGTCCTCCTCCTGCTGCTGCTGCTGCTCCTCCTCCTGCTGGTGCTCCTCCTGACCCTCATGCTCGTGATGCTGCTGCTGATGCTCCTCCTTCTCCTTCTCCTCCTCCTCTTCCTTCTGCTCGTCCTCCTCCTCCTCCTCCTCCTCCTCCTCTTCCTCCTCCTCCGGCTCCTCGCTCTGCCCGTCGCTCGGCGACACCACCTCGACCGCAGTGCAGCGCGGGAGCCGAGGAGAGGCAAGGCGCGAGGCGAGCGGCGGGAGAGGACGGCGGCCGGCGCCGTGCTCACGGCCGCGCTCGCACACGAGGACTAAGCACGCGCGCGCATGCACACACACACACAAACAAAAACAACAACAGTTACTTCAGACGTACCCACTCCCTTCTCCAAGGAAGGCGACGATCTATACGAGCGCTCCACAAAGATGAACACATGGCAAGATACGCAGCACTCTGAGGTCATTCGCCAAACAGTGTCGGGCCACGCGCGTCGCACACCTGCGCCGGAGTGGGCCATTGCAGACAGCGCATATGCGCTACGTGACGTTCCGAAGATCTGCGCTGTGTGATGCAACAGCGCCGCGCGCCAAATGACGCGACGGCGCCACGCGCAATGTGGACACGCGCCATGCAGGCACCTGGCGCTCCGCCGTGCCTCCCAGGAGCCCACGAAAGTGGCCGCGGTGGCGCAGCTCGCAGCCCCCCACGGAGCCGCGAGGTCCCGCCTGGATCCGCGTGTGCCTCCCCTCCGCTGGACCTCCCAGGAGCCTTCGAACGTGGCAACGGTTGTGCAGCTCGCAGCCCATCAAAGGGCGCCGCGAGGTCCCGCCTAGGTCCCGCCTGGATCCGCGTGCGCCTCCACTCCGCTGGACCCCCCAGGGGCCTTCGAAAATAGCGACGGTTGTGCAGCTCGCACCTCCCAAAGCAGCCGCGAGGGCCCGCGTGGATCCGCTTGTACTTCCACTCCGCTGGATCTGTCCTAAGGAGGCTCCAAGAAGTCCCCCAGGAGAGCCTAGAGAGGCAACGATGTGTTGTCGCACGTGCCTGAAAGATCTTCGGAAAATGAAACTAATGTTCGGTCTTCAGAGCTCCCAAGACGGCCCAAGAGGCCCCAAGTGTCACCCGAAGACTGCCCAACATGTCTCAACGAGGGCCCACAGACAGCCCAAGAGGGCTCTAAGACGGCCCACCCACCAGGTCACCAAGGGAGCCCCGAGACGGCCCAGAGAGGAGGCGCCCAACACAGCCTCCGAGGGCGCCAGATGGCCCAGGAGCGCCCAAGAGAGCTGCAAGACGGCCCAGGAGTGGCCCAGGAGACCCCCAAGAGGGCCCAAACGGACCGAGAAGAGCCCAAAGCCAATAAGACGACCCTTCCCCAGTGCTACCCGAATGGATCCATAACGGCTCGGGAACACGCAGTCCACCAGCATGGCTAGACGTCCGGCCAACATGCCACCACACAAGCATATCCAAAAGGCAGGGGCGGTGGTGACTTGCCAGAGGCGCCTTCGATAGAATGAAGTCGATATGAATTCGCGCTTCCCCAGTAGGCGCAACACTATCTAACCAAACGCTCAGCTTACAGAAGTGCATGCTCAGCATGCCATGCCTTCGATGCGCGCGGAGACAAATACACACTTGCCCAACGATGGGTAGGCACTGCCTGGGGTACTGAAAGCTGACACCAACTACCACTTCTTAGAGCACTCGCTGAGTCGTCAACTGCCGAAGCTGCCCTCTCACAGTGGAAGGAGTAGTGGACACCAGGCTGAATATTCAAAGAGAGCTCATCGAGTCACTTTGCAGCGCCCAATGACTCCGCACAGTACTTCCGAATACACGGAGCGTTTCAGAAACAAGACCTGTTCCAAGAGAGTGAAGCAAACTGAACTCCCAACCGTTCGGCACAGTCGGTATAGAACTCTCTGGGACGAGGACGTGAACGTTCGGGCTCCCCTCGCCCTTCCACACTCCACTCTGCGCGACGGGAAGAGACGCACCAAAAGACTGGCCAGAGGCGTGGGCGCCTTCTGGCGCTTCCTGGTGCGCATCGCGGGCCGCCCATCCTGTTGCAGGCGGGGGGGGGGGGGACATCCCCGTGCTAGACGTCCATCCCTGGCCCAAGCCCCGCTCCGCACGCCCACCCGTCCTCCCTTCCCTCGAGAGGCCCAGGCCGTTCCCAGGATGGTCGACCGCCCGCGGCAATTCTGCCACCTGTGGCCTCAGCGGCTTCGTCGAGAGCGAGCCGCTGCCGCAGCGAAGCCCTCCGCCCATCCCTCGCCACACCCCTTTCAACGCCGACCGTCTCGAACACCCCCTCTCTCCCCCCCCCCTCTCGTCCTGGCCCCTCCCCTCCGCCCGCGAACATCTACGCTGCGCGCCAGCGCCGCTCCCTGAAAGCAGCAAGATTGGCCGCGCCTCTGCCCTCTAGACAACTTGCCCCGCCACTCGCACCCGACACTCTGCTACACACGAAGCTCGGCCGATGGGCATACGCAGTAGTGGCGGTCCCAAGACAGGCATGCGCACACGGAACATCAGAACGGACACAACCCGTGAAGCAAGCTGAGGGCCAAGACAGGCCTCAGCAAACCTGAGCTGAAGCTGACGCTACTACGCAGACGGGACGCCCATTTCAAAGCTTTTCGAGCGGGGCGCGGCCAACGAGTGGCGAAGGATGGGCCGAGGAGGCAAGGATGCAAGGGTAATTACCCTTGGGAAGGTTGCCCATCCTGACTGTGCGGGTTGACTGTAGACACACACAATACAAAATCTTGCTAAAACAAATCTGGTGGCACGTGAGTCGTCGAGCTCTGAGCCCCCCGAGGCGCCCCCGGGGCTTCGGGCACCCGCTGGCAAGCCGGCGCGTTGTTTGACGTTCCCATTGCATGAAAGATCAAGGCCCCCGAGCAGAAGAAGAAGAAGAAGGACGAGGGGAGCGAGGGAAGAGTGAGGTAGGGGCAGTGACGAGGAGACTGGGCGGAGGCAGGAGAGAGGGCAGAGGAGGAAGGAGGATGGGGGGGGGAGGGAGAGGAGGATGAGAAGGGCGGCGACGACGACGACGACCACCACCACCACGATACCTACTACGAAAGAAACGATACAGAGACAATACTGACGGCGACGACCACGGCCAAAACCACGTACAGAATGACGAAGGCGACCGCGACGTCGAACGCGAGATGACCTTCCCCACCAACGTCGACGACGCCGAACGAGGAAGACCACGAACGACGCCCAAGGTGACGGCGGCAAGAAGACAAGATCGGGAAGAGATGACTCGGGATCTGACTACCTGCCAGACCACCCCAACCCAACCCGAAGACCCGAATTTGAATCGAATTTCGGGTTGCGGGGGGAGGTACGGGTTCCATGTGTTTTTTCAGTGTTCCCCGACCCCCCCCACTGGAAATCGAGGATAAAGTTGGGCCTTCGGGTTGGGTTGGGGTGGTTTGGTGGGTGGTGAGGATCCCTCAGGACCCGCGCGTGTGGAACATGCCCGGGTGCTGCCGGAGGTGGCCCTGGCCCATGAGTGGACCCAGCAGCTCCCCGGGAGGCCCAAGGTGGCCTCCATGAACACCCCGTGCACGCAGCCCGGGAGAGCTCCAGGAGCCACAGAAAAGGAAGCGAGAAGCGGGGAGCACCTCGGGCCAGCATCACAGGAGGAGGAGGAGGAGGAGGAGGAGGAGGAGGAGGAGGAGGAGGAGGAGCTCCGGAGCGTCCCAGCACGCTCCGGGCGCTCTGGACCTAACGCCGCGGCCCCGGAGCGGCTGCCCCGGGAGCACCCTTGGCGCCCCGGATCCGTCGACGATGGCTCTGGGGCCCAGCAGCAGGCCCCCGCGGGCCGAGCTCGAGGAACGACACGCCTGGAGTGCGAAGGCTCGTATCCTCGGTGAGGTCTGGGCATCCTCGACAGCTGCGCTCCGCGAGTGTTCTGGGGACACCCTGGACTGCCTGCAGCCGCGGCGGCGGCGGCGCTCGGAGCCACCAAGCCGACGACGACGGCAGCGACCACGAACGGACGGCCACCGCCACCACGGGCGACGACAACCACGAAAGCGACGACAACGACCAACACAGCCACCACGAACGACGACCACCGCCACCGCCACCGCGGGCGACGCCGCCCACGAAAAGGACGACGATGCGAAAAGTGACCACCGCCACGAGCGACGACGACGGCGACGGACGGCAGAATAGGCATGAGCAAGACGCAGCCAGGACGAGAATAAAACCGGGTGGGGATAATTCGAGAATCTCTGAGATCTGGCGGCTCTGAAGGCTGTGTCGGGCGCCGCGGCCTCCTCAGAGCGGTCTGGAACGCTCTGAGAGCGTTCCGGAACGCTCTGGGACGAATTTGTCCTCGTCCTAGCCCAACCGCATGAGGGGGAAGCGGATCCTGAGGGAACCAGGTCCAGAACCACGGTGCCCGAAGCTGCTTTCCCCCAAGGGACAATTGTGTCGCCCAGGGTCGTCTTTTGACCGGCCCTGGAGCCCAGGAGAAGGGCCCCGAGTGCCAGGAAAACGGCAGCACCAAAGAACTCAAAAAATGTGGGGCAGCACCTGACTCGAGATGCTTACGTTTCCACTTCTCAGCCATGACTCGGGGAACAAACAACTACATAAGCACTGGCTTGCGGAACCCCGCGCGGATTTCTCGGATCGGCGCTGGACCTCCCTCCCTGATGCGTGGAGCGCGCAAGAGGCGGCGCCGCAGGAGCCGCCGGGCAGCCAGCGACGATCCGAGAAAGCCGCGCGGAGCTCCAAGAATCTATGTTTATGTAGTGGTTGTTCCACGGAGTAACGCTTTCAAGATGCAGATGTTTCCGCCCCTCAGGTATGATGGGATGTGGCCTCGGATGCTTAGCGCTTTCCGCGCTTGGCCCATTGGACACCATTCTTGAGCAGGGGACCGGCCATCCCGGCATTCCAATAGGCCTATCACGAGGTGTCGCAGGACAGCAAAAATACGCTCAGAGCCAACAAAAAAACGCACTGGTAACATAAAACTGAAATCGATATCTTAGAACTAGGATGCCTTAGCGAATGACATGTTCTCAGAGCACGTCGCGCAAGCCACAGAGGGTTCTCAGAATGCTCCTTGGGGAGACTGTATGCAAGCCAGGGCGCCTCTCCCTGGAGGCGGCCAGGGGATCTGAGCTGGTCGTGACCCAGAAAATCGCTCTAGAAGGGGAGGGTAAACGTGAAGGGGCCCAGGGACACACAAAGAAATACACACAAATAACCAGATTCCCCATATTTTCCCATATTTTCTGGGTTAAGGTCTTCCCCCCACTGCCCATATTTTCACATGTGTTCTGGGGAATCGACGATTACTTGTGTCTGTGTGTTTTTTCTCCTCCTGATAAGCGCCAAATCTCATCAAAATCGAGCCTCGGACCCCTCCCGGGGGCCCACCTGGCGCAGTTGTTCACCCCGGGTCCGTTGTTGGAACGGTCCTGGGGCCTGAAAGCGGCCCCTGGAGGCGGCAGATGGCAAAAAAAACCGGCTCGAGAACCCAGAGCCTCGAACCTCTTCCCCCGCCCCCCTCCTGCTTGCCGGAACCAGGGCTGGGCCGCCTCGGGCCCCAAGCCGGCTCCAAGCCTGACCACTGCCTGGACTTCCCTCCACGGGCGGGGGGGCGGAGAAGGGCGCGCGGGCCCGGCTGCGGCTGCGCGGGGCCGCGCTCGTGCCCGCGCCGCGGCCGCTGGAGGCTGCGCCCTGCGGGTGCGGAGGGGAGGAGGAGGAGCAGGAGGTCGAGAAACTGGATGGCGGTGAGGAGAGGGAGGAGGAGTAGGAGGAGGAGGAGGAGGAGGAGGGAGGAGGAGGAGGAGGAGGAGGAGGAGGAGGAGGAGGAGGAGGAGGAGGAGGAGGAGGAGAGGAGGAGGAGGAGGAGGAGGAGGAGGAGGAGCAGGAGGAGGAGGAGGAGGAGGAGGAGGAGGAGGAGGAGGAGGAGGGGGAGGAGGAGGAGAAAGAGGGAGCGCGCGGCGCGCCCTGGTCGCGCGGCGCTTCCTCGGCGCGCGAGCGGGCGGCTCTTCGGCGGCCGCTCGGGACGATCTGGGATACGGCAGGTTCGTGTCGTGCCGACCCCAGCGTTGGTTTTTGACACCGCGTGGATCGTTCAACCTTGAACGATCGGCGGCTTTTCGATCGCCCGATCGTTCCATGTAGGCCGATTCTGGGCCACTGGCGGCGTTCAACCTTGAACGCCCGCGGTGGGGTCGCCGCCGGTCGACACGACGAGAACCTACCGTACCCCTGGAACTCTCTGGGCGATGCGCAGCCGCTGGAAGGCACCACGAAGGCAGAAGCCGTGCGAACACGGAGCCATCCGCAACCCGTCCGAAGTCCTCGAGCATCGACGAGGCGAAGCAGCATCCGCCGGTCCGGCGCGAGAGTTTCTGAGAGCGTGGGCTTGAGCTCGCTCAAGCTTCGCTCTAGGGGGGGGTCGGGATCCGGCGAATTATCCACGCAATTCACTGAACGCTCCAGCGCGGGGGGGGGTCCAAGAATCGAGGGGGGGGGGGAGCTCGAGCGAGGACGGGGAGGGGGGTCGAGCTCAAGCGGGGGGGGGGTCCAAGGAGGAAGCTCGAGCGGGGACGGAGGGGGGGTCCAGCTCAAGCGGGGGGGTCTAAGAAACGAGGAGGGCAGCGGGGGGGGATTCAAGAATCGAGGGTGGGGGGGGGGAGCAGCGCGCGGGGGGTGGGGTCCAAGAATCGAGGGGGGGGAGCTCGAGCGAGGACGGGACGGGGGGGGGGTCGAGCTCAAGCGGGGGGGGGGGGGGGTCCAAGGAGGAGGCGGAGGGGGGGGGGCAGCGCGGAGGGGAGGGGGGTCCAAGAATCGAGGGGGGGGGAGCTCGAGCGAGGACGGGGGGGGGGTCGAGCTCAAGCGGGGGGGGGTCCAAGGAGGAAGCTCGAGCGGAGACGGAGGGGGGGGTCCAGCTCAAACGGAGCGGAGACGGAGGGGGGGGGGGTCCAAGAAACCGGAAAGGGCAGCGGGGGAGGAGGAGGGATCCGAGCATCGAGGGGGGGGGGGGGAGCTCGAGCGAGGGCGGGGAGGGGGTCGAGCTCAAGCGAGGGGGGGGGTCCAAGGAGGAAGCTCGAGCGGGGACGGGGGAGGGGGGGTCGTGCTCAAGCGGGGGAGGGGAGGTCCAAGAATCGAGGGAGGGGGAGGGGAAGCTCGAGCGAGGACGGGGGAGGGTCTAGCTCAAGGGGAGGGGGGGTCCAAGGAGGAAGCGTTGTCGTCATCATCGTCCGTCGTTGACCCGGTCGTCG